AAAATGAGTGTTGGAAAAATAAAATACCGGGGAACTGACTGTTAAAAGAAATGAAAATACTAGAAATAATTGTGAATATGACAATAATTCTCAGTGAAATAACTACCAGGAAAACTGTTGACCTTCTTCATGAATCTGAACAGTGATAACTATAACTGAGAGATTCATATACCAAAATTGTAGACTAATTTTAAATTTATATAATATAAATAACATGAAGCTTTATTATTAACACGAAATTTTGTAGTATTGCTAATGATAAATATAGAAAGCGGACATATTTGTGGGTAGAAAAATATAGTATAGATACATTTACTTTATTACATTTACTTTATTACATTTACATTAATTGCATAATTTACGTCTACATTTTATTGAGTAATTTGTTTTATTTTGATCTCTTTCTAAAGGGATGCGAGTTGGCGTATGCGTACTTTATTTAATTACATGAATTACATAATCAGATGCTGTTTATATATATTGAACTATTTTAAGATTTCGGTTATTAGATTTTACAGGAAAATTAATATCATTACGGTAAATAACCAATTTTTTCAGTGTATTATTCTTGCAAAGTGCATCTGATAATGCTTTTCCTCCCCTAGATCTGAGATCATTATAACTAAGATCCAAAAAAGTCAGCGTGGTATTCTTGCAAAGTGCATCAGCTAATGCTTTTCCTCCTTCTGATCCAAGATTATTATCTCGAATATCTAAAGAAGCCAGCGTAGTATTCTTGCAAAGTGCATCAGCCAATGCTTTTCCTCCTTCTGATCCAAGATTATTATCTCGAAGATCCAAACAAGTCAGCGTGGTATTCTTGCAAAGTGCATCAGCTAATGCTTTTCCTTCTTCTAATCCAAGTTTATTATCTTGAAGATTCAAAGAAGTTAACGTGGAGTTCTTGCAAAGTGCATCAGCTATTGCCTTTCCTCCTCCTAATCCAAGATCATTATTTTGAATATTCAAAGAAGTCAGTGTAGTGTTCTTGCAAAGAGCATCTGCTAATGCTTTTCCTCCTTCTGATTCAAGTTCATTATAACTAAGACCTAAAGAGGTAAGCGTAGTGTTCTTGCAAAGTGCATCAGCTAATGCTTCTCCTTCTAATCCAAGATCATTCAAAGAAAGGTTTAAAGAATTTAAAGTGGTATTCTTGCAAAGTGCATCAGCTAATGCTTGTCCTCCTTCGAATCCAAGATTATTATCTTGAAGATCTAAAGAAGTCAGCGCAGTGTTTTTGCAAAGTGCATCAGCCAATGCTTTCCCTCCTTCTGATTCAAGATTATTATCTCGAAGAACTAAACAAGTCAGCGTGGTATTTTTGCAAAGTGAATCAGCTAATGCTTCCCCTCCTCCTGATCCAAGATTATTCGAAGAGAGATCTAAAACAGTCAGCGTGGCGTTCTTACAAAGTGCATCAGCAAATGCTTTTCCCCCTTCTGGTCCAAGATTATTACCAGCAGTTAAACTAGAAGTAATACCATTATATCCAAGACTCAAATAAGTAAGCGTAGTGTTCTTGCGAAGCATATTTGCTAATGCCTTTCCTCCTTCTGGTCCAAGTCTATTCGAAGAAAGATCTAAAGAAGTTAAGGTGATGTTCTTGCAAAGTGCATCTCCTAATGTCTTTACTTCTTCTGATCCAAGATAATTCGAAGAAAGATTTAAAGAAGTTAAGGTGGTATTCTTACAAATTGCCTTTATTAACTCATTTATTTTTTCTGGTTCACATTGACGAGTGAGATCCCAAGATGAAGCGAGTTTTTGATCTTCAATATTGTGATTGCTGTCCTTGAGAATTTCTTCATAAAATTCTAATGCTT